GTGCTTAGGGCAGCGCTAGTAGGTGCTCAATAAAGATAAAGTTGGAAAAATCAATGAGGCCACGGTGGAGTTTACAGAACAAGGTAATATAGGAAGAGTTCTGAGTTCTCTCACTAACTATAAACTCTCGATGAACGTTGCAAGTGGTTTGGCAGGTCACCCAAGCGCCAGCCCCTTCTCAGCTCGAACACATCTGAAGGGCGAAGGGGCAGAGATATTTTACACTGTGGAGTGTACCTCTTTGAACTTCCTGAAGTCGACCGGGTGGACGCCCTACCGTTTTAGGCACCTGCAATTTCCGCCCTTCTCCTTCCCCCTCTTCCTCGCTCCTGTCCCCGCTCCTCATCCCACCGCAGGGGCTACGGAACTACGACGTCCCTCAACCCTTGCTTCCAGAAGATAAAAAAGTAATGATCTTTATGTTTTAAACCACTGCAGAACGAGGGCTTCGAGTGAAAGCTTTATTTGGGTGGAAACGTCTAGCCTACGAGAAAGAATCAGTGCGTTCCAGCCTCGTTCTTTGCCTTCCTGTTAAGACTCCCACGATCACCTCCGACCCTCCTTCTAAGAAGGCTTCTCCCCTCGGGAACTGTTCGCTTTCTGAGAGCGGCCACGTCTCCTCCCAGGCCTCACCTCCTGCCGACTCCGCCCGGTCTGCCCACCTTGGCGCCCACCCATTGTCCCCTCGCGACTGTCACTGCGCGCAGATCCCGAACTCCCGATTGGAAAACCTCCCCGTCACTCAGGAGCCGGACGCCTCGCTCTTTTCCGAGCCTTAAAAGGTCTGAGGCCGCTTTCCCGAGCCAGCAGGTAGAGCGCGCGGCGGAAGTGGGTGAGGGGACAGCCGCGCGACCAGGTCGGCCCCGCCTGGACACGGGGAGCGGCGGGCTGGAGCTGGTTAGCGTACCACACCGCCCCTCCCTTACCGCCTGACCGCGCCCTGTGCCCCCTTCCCCTCCGCCAAGTCCTGATCACAATGCCCGAGCCGCCCAGCCACTCTCGTAATCCTGCCCACGGACAGCCCTAGGGCAGTTACCACCGCGGAGGGCGGGGCGGGCCAGGCAGCGGGGGTGGGGGGATGTAAAAGGCCCCGGATGTTGCTGAACCGGAGCCCCTTCCAGAGGGAGTGACTGGCGCATGTGCAGAAGAACCGAACTAAAGCTAAAGTGGGGGTGGGGAGAAATTTCCTTCCCGCAGGCTTAGAACAGTGACCCGGCGGAGTTTGCGGGGGAGACAGAAAGACTAGGTGTCGGAGATCCAAGGGGAAGGCGAGGAAGGGGAGTTAGCGGTGGGAAGGAAAAAAGCAGCTCCCTGCCCAGGCGTACTAGGGACAGACGTAGAGAGGTGGAAGCCGAGCGGGGTGGGGAGGAGTTGTTGGTAGCTGGCGAGGACGCGCGCTCCTCCACTCGCCCTCTAGCGCGGGCGGGCAGGGCGCGCGCGCTAGGGAGCGGCGGTTGCGCTGGGCCGCGAGAGCTGTGGGCACCAGTCAACGGTTGCCATAGCAGCGTTTGACGTCATCGTGCGTGTGGCGCCCCTGCTGCCGGGGCTGGTGATTGGAGGAAACCCCGTGTCTGCGGAGCGGCTGTAGCCTGTGAGCAGCGAGATCCAGGGACAGAGTCTCAGCCTCTCCGCTGCCGCCGCCCAGAGACTGCTGAGCCCCCGTCCGTCCGCCGCCACCCACTCCGGACACAGGTAAGGGACCGGATCGCCGCCGCCTCGCCCCACTCCTTCCTGGCCCAGACCAGCCTTCCTAAGGCGTGGGAGCCGTCGCCGCTGCACGTTCCCTCAGTCCGGTTCCCCCGGCGGCGGTAAGCGCCGCTGGGCTGAGGCGGAGTCTCAGGCGGACACGGGCGGCGGCTTCTCTTCCGCTGGGCTTCGGCGGGCGGCTTGCGGCCGCCTCCGGCTACTTGCTTTCTAATCGGCGCCTTGGCCCCGATCGGCGCTCGGCCCGCTTTCCCGCTCCCCGTGGCATTAGGGCGCCCACAGGCGAGATCCCCGGGGATCCCCTGGTCGCCGGCTCCCGAGGGCGGACGAGGCATGGCCGAGGCACCTCGTATAACTTCGTATAATGTATGCTATACGAAGTTATTACGCCAGCATTGTACAGCCTGCAGTTGTCCTTTCTACCACCAGATGGGGCTAG